AAAGGAGAGGTACTTGCTGAAGCTATTTTGAGTTATGCTGATACCTCCGCAGCTACTGTTTTATTTTCTTATTTAAAAAAATTTTTTTTAATGTTTATTTTTGACAGAGAGAGACAGAGCATGAGGGGGGGAGGGGCAGAGAGAAAGAGAGATCCGAATCTGAAACAGGCTCCAGGCTCTAAGCTGTCAGCACAGAGCCCGACGCGGGGCTCAAACTCATGGACCATGAGATCATGACCTGAGCCGAAGTTGGACGCTCAACCGACTGAGCCACCCAGGTGCCCCTGTAGCCACTGTTTTAAATGTGGCTTTATAGATATGATCCAGAACTGACCGGTCTTCTCGATGTGTATTCTAAGAGTGGTTTTCAAATTGGTGGGGTCGGGTAGAGGACAGAATTCCTAGGTAGAGATGAAGCAGGTGGGGCCCTAGACTCCCCCTTCTTCATCAACCAGAATAATAATGCATTTTATCTATTTTATATTAGGAGGTTTTCATACAAGATTTTGCTTGGAAAAAAGAGTTCCAGGGTTTTTAAGATAGTATAGGATATGATCCACAACAGTGTTTCTCAAACTTAAATGTAATTACAAATAACATATTTAAAAAAATTTTTTAATGTTTATTTTTGAGAGAGAGAGACAGAGAGTGTGAGCAGGGGAAGGGCAGAGAGAGGGAGACACAGAATCCAAAGCAGGCTCCAGGCTCTGAGCTGTCAGCACAGAGCCTAATGTGGGACTCAAACTCCCAAACCACAAGATCATGGCTTAGGCCAAGGGCGGACGCTTAACCACCTGAGTCACCCAGGCTCCCCAGGTAATACATGTTAAAATAGAAATTCTGATTCATTAGTTATAGGATGGATCTCTCAATTCTGCACTTTTTTAAAAGTTTATTTATTTTTGAGAGAGGTGGGGGAGACGGAGGGAGAGAGAATCCTAACCAGGCTCTGTGCAGTCAGCACAGAACTGGATGCAGGACTCAAACTCACAAACCATGAGATCATGACGTGAGCTGAAATTAAGAGGTTGGGTGCTTAACTGACTGAACCACCCAGGCGCCCCCCTCAATTCTGCATTTTTTGTTTGTTTTTTAATGTTTATGTATTTATGGGGGGGGCGAGGTACAGAGAGATAAGAAAGAGAGAATCCCAAGCAGGCTGTGCACTCTGTGCACAGAGCCAGACACAGGACTTGATCCCACAAACTGCAAGATCATGACCTGATCAGAAGAGTGGACGCTTAACTGACTGAGCCACCCAGGCACTCCCCTCAATTCTGCATTTTTAACAAACTGCTGGTGTTTCCAAGTGCTGCTTCTCTGAGGACCATGCTGCAATAGCAAGATTCTAAGGGACCATGTTCTGCCTTCTTTTTGTAGTGGTGGTTCTCAGCTGCAGATATAGGTTATCTATTGCACTCATCTTTGGAGCTTTAAAACAAACAAACAAACAAAAAAACCACTCCGGGCCCTAGCCCAGACATACAGAGTCTGAATTTCTGGGGTGGTTCCAGGCACATGTATTTTTAATCCTGGTTGAGAATCACTGCTCAAATACCAAAAGTACATCTTGTCCATAACCCCTTTGGCTTCTTCAATAGTTTTTAAAAATAGTATCTGCTAGGGGCGCCTGGGTGGCGCAGTCGGTTAAGCGTCCGACTTCAGCCAGGTCACGATCTCGCGGTCCGTGAGTTCGAGCCTCGCGTCGGGCTCTGGGCTGATGGCTCAGAGCCTGGAGCCTGTTTCTGATTCTGTGTCTCCCTCTCTCTCTGCCCCTCCCCCGTTCATGCTCTGTCTCTCTCTGTCCCAAAAATAAATAAACGTTGAAAAAAAAATTAAAAAAAAAATAGTATCTGCTAGAATTGTATAGCTCTCGAGACTTCCTAAATGTTAAAAGCCATATTTTTTATTTTATTAGTTTAAGCAGTGTTAGAATTTACTTTGGTTGGTAGTTAGTGATCCACAAGAATCCACTTGAGAGTACTAATGTTCGTATTTGTTTATAAAGGAGGATACTAAATTATGAGACCTCTGGAAGAGAAAGAAGGTCTATATTTGGTTTCCCTTCTGTCTTTGCTTCTTTTAGTGGAACAAAAAGAATTGCTTTACAAGGCTCTAGGAAATCTAATCATTCTGGTGGATCATTTTCTAAGTCTTTCCTAAATACCAAAAGGGACTTGAGTGAGAGATAACCTTGGTGTATACAGAGTACCATGTATAAGGAAGGACTGGATAATGGTTGGTCTTTCTGTCCTGTAGCCCTCTTTAATGCACAGGAGTGCTAAGCATGACATAGTTCCTACAAACCACAACAGTCATCCAACAAGTGGAAATCAGCCAGCAGTGGCCCTCAGACATGGGCATAAAGTACAAAGAGTTGGGGCATGACTGGGAATGTTTAAAATGAATCTTAGAAAACATTGTGATGGGAGTACGTAGGTGGCTCAGTTGATTGAGCATCTAACTCTTGATTTTGGCTTCGGTCATGATCCCAGGGTAATGGGATCATGTCAGGCTCTACTTGAAGCCTGCTTGAGATTCTCTTTCTCGCTCTCCCTCTGCCCCTCTCCCCTGCTCGCATGCTGTCTGTCTGTCTGTCTCTCTCTCTCAAATTAAAAAAGAAAAAGAAGAAAACATTTTGATGTAGAGATTGTTAAATGGAAATAGATATATAGTGTGCATATATATTTTTTGGACGTAGATTTTTTTTCAAGTAGGCTCCATGCTCAGCACAGAGCCCAGTGTGGCACTTGAACTCACAACTGTGAGATAAAGACTTGAGCTGAGATCAAGAGTCGGTTGCTCAACTAACTGAGCCACTGTGGTGCCCTTGGAGATAGATTTTTTTAAAATAAATTTTCAAAAGTGCTGGAGTTACTTATCAAACCATTTATTGTTAGAATTTGTATTTTGATTTAACAAAATAGAATTCAATTTTATACTAAATCATTAGATGTTGTTAAGATCATAGAAAAACTAACTAAGAATAGAAGTGGGCACAGGTCTTGAAATTAGTGGTTGGAAGAAATGAGGCATTTCTTTCCAGATTATGGATCTTTTCTAAACCACCTAGAATTTTAGACATCTAAAATGGCTTTGGTATAGCCAGAATTTTTGAATGAAGAAAGTACTGAATTGCTTTTTTATCTCCGCCTTTACCTTTTAGCTGTTTTTCTGTGGTATAAGGATGTAGACATTCCTGTATTCTTCATTTAACTGCTTTTTCCATGTCCATTTACTTGTTTTGAAGCTGCTTACTGAAATCAGATCTAAACTCATCTAAGCCTTCTGAAATCCCACTGCTCCCCTGGGTGGGAGAGCAAAGGCTTAAAGCAGTAAATGGAAAAGATTCACTTTTTTTGCCTCAGTAACAAGCTCTGTAGTCAGTGTTGGTTTGAATATGGTCTAGGATTAATATCTCTGGTGTTGTGTTGACCTTGATACATAACTGATGTCAACAGCAAGATCTATAAGAATATTTCATTCATCAGTGCTCTCACTAAGGTTAGAAGTTCTGGTTCAGAAGGCAAGATTGCCTGTGCAGAAAGCCTACCTTGTGGTTAAAGTCCAACCTGTGGGATATATGTGTGTATAATCTAGTTATTTGGTTGTTCTGGATGGCAGCATCCCCTGACTGTATTAGCTGCCAAGGTATAGTGAGCCTCTAAAGACTATCATCGTGCTCTCATTTTTTCATTTTTTCCTGAATCCCTCCTTATCTAAAACACCCACTACTCTTCTGCCATTAATCCAGTTCCAACAGGGCCGTACCACTAAATATGAACTTGAAGCTCTTTGACTGAATATGTTCTATCCCTCTTTGATTATCAAAGCCCTTGAAGAATCACTTGAGACAAAGAAATAGTAAAAATATATGCAAAGCACAATGAAGATGTGTGCCTCAGTGAGCTTGTCTACTTTGTTGACCAGCCTCACCTCATAGGTACCATAGCCAGAGTCCTCTGCCAAGCCAATATGAAAAAGCCAAGGTTTTTTGTATTCACTTGCTCTAAGAGTAGACTACCACACTCACTACATGAACTGCACCCAACTGTAGCAACCTTGTGTGCTGCAATACCCAGCCAGGTATGATATGAGTTACCTATGAGAATATTGAAATAAAAGAACATTTAACCATAGGAAAGTAATTAATACAGACATCTTCCAAATGTAGAAATAACTAGTCTTTTTCAGTAGGGAAAGTTACTTTAGAACTGATCATTGTTTCATGGTATTTCTTACAAATAAGCAGCTGTGTTGAGTTTTTGATAATGGTTCCTCTACAGATGGACTTTCTGAAGTGTAATCCATATTATTAGGGGTGAAGAAAGAGGAAATCAGTGCTCATTTGGCCATCATCTGTAAGAAGAATTGCAGCTTCTAAGAATGGCAATATGTTCTCTCCATTGCATCTCTTGAAGTTTCTTCTCTATTCTTAAAAGTTGTAATTCCTTTTCTAGATGATGTTAAGAACATTCTCTGCCATGGAAGGTTACCTTGTCTTCTGTTCACTCTGATGCTTAGGCCTCCCTTAACAATGATGCATGCTCTGCTGGGAGAAGGAAACTTAGACTGTAAATTCAAGGATATTGGTCAGCAAGGATATGTTGGGGAGAAAAGCACTAGGGTGAGTGTTACTTATGGAAAGAAAACTGGATATTCTATAGCTGTGAGAAACATCTGGCTGCTGACTGAAAGGCCATTTTTGTTTGGAAATTTCATTTTGTTTTGTTTTCATGAAACCTACTGAAATCTGCAGGAACAAGATTAGTTTCCAAGTTGAAACTGAGGGTGGCTGTACTCTTCATGTTACCCTCAATTTTCACATATTGGCAATAAATTCATTTACAAATTAAATTCTTGTACTTTTAAGATTAGTCTCTCATTTTGGATATGATGACTTGCCCCCAGTATGGATGAGGTGGTAGGTAGGTAGATGTTGTGGGAATTAGAATACAGTAATTTGCCTCAGACTTACATGTTTTCACTCTGATTGGCAGGAATACATGGTTTACAAGAAGCATACCTACATGAGGCTTGATGGTTCCTCCAAGATCTCAGAGAGGCGGGACATGGTTGCTGATTTTCAGAACAGGTAATGTTAAGGGGAATTACAGAAATTCGCGTTTGATTTACCTCTAATGCTTAAGATGATGAGTTTAAAAGAAATGTCAGCATATCTCAGGTTGTTAAGCAGTTGTGTTCTGCCATTTTAAGAGGTAGCTTAATCTGTTTATAGTGGTTCAGATCTATATGTGCGGGAGAGAGAAAAATGAATACTCGATAATTTCTTTATTCAAAATATACCTTCTGACCAAATCAGCACCCTTTTCTTTGGTCAATAAAAGAAATGATTTCTGAGTGTAAACCAAGATCCTCCTTTATGTGGAAAATGTATGTGTAGAAAGAAGTCCACAAGGCTATATTCTAAATGTTAACAATGGCTATCAATGGATATTGACTTATAGTTGATTATTAGTTTGTTTTGCTTACCTCTTTTGTGTAAATTTAAAGAAAAATACCTTCCTTTTTCCTGCTTTCCCTCTAGCATTGTAGTAATACATAATACAGTGCAGTATGACAAATTGCAGTGATGTGCAATCTATTCAGCTGGCAGCTCTCAGTTACAGTACTTCTCCCACCTGATAATGAGCCTATGAAATTTCAAGTACTGCCTGCTGGATGCTGATGGCTTACAGAGCCATAATTATCCTAAGTGCAGGTTCTCATGTAATAAGCAGAGTCTGGTTACTGCTCCCTAAAAGCGAAGCACCACTAGCTACTCATAGGGCTGCTAAACTCCACCCTTATATTTTCTTCCCTAGACCTGGATAACTAAAGAATAGAGTAGATCTTAATGTGCTGCTGTAAATCACAACAGTTGTGCATTTCTGGGCTTTAATTGTTGTAGTCTATTAATACTTAACTTTTGAATTCTTGGGGAAAAAATTAGGCACATAGCCATTTGTATTTAGGTTACTATTTTTAATTTCTTTCATTTCACTTTTAAAGCATGGTTTACTGGGGCGCCTGGGTGGCTCAGTCGGTTGAGCGGCCGACTTCAGCTCAGGTCATGATCTCGCGGCCCGTGAGTTCGAGCCCCGCGTCAGGCTCTGTGCTGACAGCTCAGAGCCTGGAGCCTGTTTCAGATTCTGTGTCTCCCTCTCTCTGACCCTCCCCCGTTCATGCTCTGTCTCTCTCTGTCCCAAAAATAAATAAATGTTAAAAAAAAATTTTTTTTTTTTTAAAATAAAGCATGGTTTACTTC